TGCTGTTACCATCTGAGTGGAAAATAGTCATTACGTGCGAGTAAAATACTATACTTCATCTACAACTAATCGAATATCAAAGCAACTCTGGGAGTGCAGAAATATATCTTTGGAAATAATGAAGGTTATTATCGGTTATTATATTGCAAAATCATACTATTTTGCAGATTATTCATTAATTTGCTTCCGCTGTAGCATTCCCCCACCGCGCTGATTGATTGTAGTACCCTGTATCTAGACGCTAGTTATCAAGAATGAAGTTCCATGGTTCTGATTGGTCTGTACTTTTCTATTCGAATAGCCCGCACATAAGTGAGAGTCAATCGGCAACTGTCAGGTGCCAAGTCCTATTCCAGGGTTATGGTTACTCATGATGGAAGTCACTGTTGAGAATGAAAAACAGTGAATTCTCATTTCTTCGTGTATTTGTAGAATTTAGGTGATTGAAACAATGAGAACCATATAAGGTGAGTCTTTTGAATTCGCGTGTATTTCACAAACAGTAGTATAGTGGCGTGCTTTAGTAGAACTAGTATAACGAATACCTACCTAGTTGATTTGACAAGACCATGGGATTCCAGATTGTTACGCCATCCTACAGTCATTTCAACTCTTATTACTCGATTCATCACAATAATGTCTGTCATTGAATGTTGAAAATCGAGTTAGCAATGTATGAATGAATCCATAGTTGTAGGTAGATAAAGGAGTTTTATTACTGATAGATGGGTATGGTGTTAACGGGGCATCTGGGAAACAGGGTGACATCTCAGAGTGAACAGCCTTAGCCCTGTGCAGAGTGCACCACAGGGCTGGACCAACCCCTGCCCCCGTTACGCGTAGGGGAAGGAAAACTTTTGTAGGTGAGATACAATGGGCCAATAGGCCTTAGTGTCGTCGGATACATCGGTCAGACGAGCCTACAAAGAGGGTGGAGTGTTTAGTAGGTATACCATGGAGATAGAAGACTCCCACACTATGGGGGATTCGACCCATGTGATGTCCATAAAGGATTTCAACCACCTCGACGAGAAAAATAATGCTATGGGCCAAGAGTCACGAGCTCCGAACCTACTACACCTACTTTTTTTTATCGAAGTGATTCACTGTTGGGCCGATATAGTGATCGGCTATTTTAATGGTATTTGTCTTCACGACGCTTTGTTCAGACGCTAGTGATGGTAATATCTGGATAAGTACAGATAATCAGTCAGAGATTGAAGATATCGCAAAATATGCTTTGGCATAACGAACATGAGGATCGTCCTCACCTGAAATAAAAACATGTATTCGATATTCCATAAACTAATCTTGTTTTCTGTAGAAATCATGCACCATTGTTAAGGCCAATTATATAATATGAAACCTGGAATTCCTTCATTTGTCTCGTTCATCTGGATATCTTTTTAATTGCAGCAGAACTAACTCCGTCATAATAAATTATGTGAACCAAGCAAAATTAACAGAGCTTATTTTAATTAAGGCGTGTCAGGTCGTCTTTGTTTTTTAGTTTTCCAGCTTTCATGTTTCCGTGTTTAAATTCATACTGTTTATTCTATGTCCCAACTGGTGTAATACTATAGATACATGGCAAGTTGCCACTGTGGCTTCATACTTTATTATTTCCGTGAATGGCGGGGTAAATTTCAGAACTTGTTTCTGTAATCCTGATGCATTTCATGGTTGGAGAATTAACGATATTTTTGTGAATGGAGCAATTTGCATAATTGAAAAATTACAGTGCATGTCTTTCCTTTGTTCATACACTACATACGTATACTAAAATCATTGAACGTGGTATTTTTTAGCAATACATTTAAAATGCGAAATTATGAGGAAAGAGCATCTCCACTACTTCACCAGAAGGTCTGAAAGCCTGCAAATTCTGTACAGAACAAGGAAATCGATAATATTTTCTTCTACGCCACAGACCAACTTCAATTACATTTCTCATTTCAATCATTCGAATATCTTAATGTTGATTACTTTCGAGAATTCTTTTGAATTTCAAGAATCAGCTGGATGATTACCATTTAATTCATTATTTAATATACATTCATGAATATATATCAACGTAACTGCCTCCATAGCGTGGAATAGGGTTTGCGATCCAGAAATCCCGAGACCGTTAATCCTGGGATCCACACAAAATTTCGATCCCGGCAATTTCCGATCTCGTGTTTTCGGGATTGAACTGAACTTTTTTTTTTGCGCTATTGGTTTAGTCTGTCGATTCGTAATGAGAACACGTATTACTAACATATCAATAATTTTCCCATAATCGTTACATTTAACTTTGGTTGATATATCTTCGAAGATTTTGTTTTTGTTATCACAGTTACTATGAAACAGTATTTGTTTCTGACGGACTACGAAATCTTTTTTTTTTTTCATTTCTGCTTTCCTGCTGTATTTTCCGTCTGTTTGTTGAATGAAGAATATATAGATGGCAACTTTCATCATTTAGTTATGTACCTTCCATCAATTTCATCCATTTTGAAACATCCAACCATATACGTATTAATAATCAATACGGATAATCTCTATCTGTTTCCATAGCGAAACATGAAGCCGATTTTTGAAGACAAATGACTATCCATAAGGAAAAGTGAGATCAGATCAGACACATACTGCTTTGATTGAAAGGCTAGTAAACGTCATTGTCCACCGAAACGCATGTCTTTGATGACTACTATAATAGCGCATGGCGCATGCGTATCATGCCACCAAATCCTTATGGATATTCATTTGTTTCATATTTTTGGCTTCATCCTGGCACCCGTTATGATCCGTATTGTTTATTAATACGTATATGCATCCAACTCAAAATTCCGGCTTCTCGGGATTAGGTAGACAGAATCTCGAATTTCAGGGATTGAAATTGGTACAAATCTTTTTCAGGCGACGCCAATTCCAGTGGTGTACGCGGATTTTTCACAAGAAAAAATCGCTAATATGGATTCTGGATTTTTCAGCCTCAGAATGTGGTCTAGTAGGCCTTAGGGTTTTTAAAAAAATAGACCCCGCTCAGCATCACGATCTATAATTGTTCTATCCGTCATTCAGTTGACCCTTAAGAGCAACCCCAGAAGTCTTCAAGAGACTTATGCGAACAAGAAATGATGGGGGCTTTACCCTTTAACGTGTGATCCTGATAACATTTTCTTGGGTCATCAGGAGAAGAAAGGATTTGAATCCACGACCGGTTAGCCATCGTGATTAGAATACTGACGCTTTCACCACGCGGCTACCTATATACACCTTCCTTTTCTCCTCATTTCTAAAAAAAATCGTCAGAATCGTTCCATAAATGAAGAAATTCATTTGGGTTACTCTGTATATCATAGTAGCTGAAAATCATACCCTTCGATGCGTGTTTGATTATAAAGTTATTAGGAGAGCTCTTCATCATTAAAAAATACTGTTGATTGGTCGATTTAGGAAAATTGAAGAAATTTCGAAAGATATAAGAATAGGCGGGTATTATTCAAATGAAAAATATCACAGAAGTGATCAAATATGGAAGCTGTCAAAATGATTCTTGGCATCTGCCTATTATTACGTAGATATATTTCCAAACTGTGGAAACATTATGACCATAGCCGCTTACTACTTTGATATTTAATCCATAGAATTGAATAAATACTTATTAATAATAATAATAATAATAATAATATCTTTATTGCTTCTCAAAACATAGTTTTACAGCAAGGGTCAGATATAGACTAAATCAAATTTATGACTATTAATCTTAGAGAAGAAAAAAACTATACAAATATTAAAATAAAGAAAAATAAAAAAGAGATTAAATAGGAGAGAGTTGAACCGTTCCTATTCCTACCTATTCATTCAAAATAAACGACCTGAGTTTTAGAATATTCCATATATAGCTAGCTATGATTTTCGAATCTTCTCTTGACAGACTGTCCAAGGACGAGCGGAGGGAGTCCCAAGACGCAAGAAGTTCACAGTGAGGCTTCATACTTGCATAAAATGGGCATTCAAACAAGATGTGACGAACGGTTTCATTATCATGGTGATTGCAAACTGAGCATATCTGATTGGGATCAATCAAATGAGACATGCCGTTTAAAGTCAATTTTATCTTGAAAGTATTGCTCAAACGCAACTGAGCTATAGTACGAGTTACCTGTATCGGAAGTTGATAAAGCAAGTAATATTTGGGCTCCTTGGAAAGGCTAGAGTTGTTGCAAAGTGGCAAAAAGGTGCTTCTTTGAAGCAATGATATATCGGCTTCGAAAAGTTTGTCGTAATATTTTGCTAAAATAGTATTTTTTCTTATTCTGCCATGAAGTACAGCTTCATCCCACAAGTCTTCAGCTTCAGCAAAAATAAAACACTTCTTCAATTGTCTGGCCCAGTTGAACTTTTCATCAATAGTAGCCAGCGACTTTATTTGCTGTCTCAAAGAAATTTTTGGTAATCGGTCATCATCCATACTGAGGACTTTTTGTAACCAGTTCAATGACACTTTAAATACATTATAGGCATATTTCACTCTGCCAGTTTCCAATCGGATCACATAATCTGGAGAATTGGTATGAACAAGCAGTATTTTTTTGAAAAACATCACTTGGACCCTTTCTAAGATGTCTAAGTATCTCAATCCCCAAACAGGCAAGCAGTTCGATAAAGTACTCTGTGCGACAGATTCAAATAATTTCACGCGGGGAAACCACGTATCAATTTTGGCATTACACATGATTGGGATGATTGCACCTACGGCTTGTTTTGCTTTATCCGCAGCTACTGTGGCCATCTCGCGAAATAAGCAAGAAGAGGTGAATGTCACACCAAGATAAACATATTTATTCACTACCGAAACGGGTTCAATGTTGAAGTAAAATCCACTCGCGCTTGGTTTGAAACCTCCCCTGGAAAAGGAGTGATCCAGGTCTCACTTAAACAGAGAACGTCGAGATTCTCAATTTCACTTCCAATATTCATTAAATTCTGAAACTCATGACAGTTCCAGAAAACTACTTGCAGTTTTTTGAATGCACAGTATCCATTTTGTTTATCTTCTGTATATTTTGGATGGGAGAGGATTCTGCAGAACGGGGCCTTTTGGTAGATGCTGAAACGACTTGAGGTTGGCCATTCATGAATTTAAGTACTATCTTTTCTCCTGAGTTTTTTCTCTGCTCAAGCTCCTTATACGCCAAACTAATCTCGTTTCTCTGTCTAGGCGTGTAATCATTTTTTACTTTCAGGTGTGTATATTCGTTCAATGGTGATTTAGACTTTTTCCTAAGTACTTTTAATGCATCATCGCTGTTGTAGAATTCAACCTTCACAGGCCGCACCTTGTCTCTGGTTGGTTGGCCCAAACGGGTTATTCTATTGATTTTCAGCAAGGCGGGAGATACAGTTTTATTAATTATTGCTGTAACTGCTTCATTGGTATCGACTGTTTCTTCAATCCCATACATGATGATATTCTTTTCTCTTTCAAGTCTCATCCTCAGCTCACCGAATAGTTCCGCCGAATCCAACGAGTTGACTTTTTTATCTATTTCTGATAGCTTAGATTGGATAGAAGATTGTTCCGATTCCAGTGTATTCACCTTCACAATACAGGATTCGAGTTTCTCATTTTGAAGAAGTAGAATGGAGCGAATGTCATTTATACCATTCGAAAGCTGCGCTAGCTGAGTTGTTATAAGATGCAGCTGCGCTTCAACACTAGCTACGCCACTGGTAGGATTTTCCATTGTTTTAAATTGATATAGTTCAATGAACGCAAAGTATGAACAAAAAAAAACTGGTCGGCCTTTATCGGTGTCGAAAAAGTAAAGATTGGTATTCGACTGATAACGCGCCGCTTTAAGCTATGCAGTATAGGGTTAGGAATGTGTGTACTGTAGTTTTTTTAAAGATTACGATGGAAACCGAGTTCTAACTACACTAACCAGCTGCTGCTCTATCACTTTTCCCACTTGCTGCCGTAAAAAACAATATATTTTTAAGTTTTTCACTAGTTTTGTCAAGATTAATAGGAACCAAATAATCACGTGCTGTTTACTCGGCAGACGAAACCTGACTCCATTATGCAACTGATTCCAAGAATGCGATTATTCCGGTAAAATATTTCCGAACGAAAAACCGACCGAAGGCAAGTACTTTTCGTTGGCAGACACTAAATTTTCATCCGCAAACACTTTTCGTACGCTGCAGCTTTGCCAGATCTACTGCATTTTCAGTAGATATCCTGATTTGCATATTGATCTACTGACCAACTGAAAGGTTTCATAACCTACTGAAAAATATTTTGACACTCATTCATCATTATAATCACCTATATCACTATTAATCTTTCAATTAATTGTTATATTGCATCATTTTGGCACGCTCTTCTCAAATTAATTACACAAAATAAGTATCAAATATACATATATGTACTAATGATATGTATAAACTGAAAGAGAATAATACTTTTTCAGATTCAGATGAAATTCAATTGTTTATATATACCTCTGTTATAATAGTTTGTTTCTTATGTTTAATTTTTTTATATGTGACTGTACCTTCTGATATTTTTGAGAATCTTCAAATTGAGAACTAGGAATATGATTTTTTTTATCGAAATATTTGTTTTGTTCGTTTCCATTTTGTTGTAAATAAGTTACTTTGCTGTTTACTGAGAGTACATACTGCTTCGAGGACATCATAGGTTTATTTCATTATCCTTTCTTGGAATGTGGCTGTGTTTGAGGTCGACGAAAAAATAGAACATTCACCTCGGCGAAAAACTGTCTATTGTTTTTCGTCCTCGATACATAAAATAAAATTAAAATATTAGTATTATAAATTCGTATTACAATAATCGACGAGTTATTTTCCATCTCAAATCGTGATAATAATCTTCACAATACTTTTATCATGAATATCCTATCAATCATAGTCAGAAATCGAATTATCCCAGCGAAAAACTCAATGGATTTATCTTCAGAATGAAGAAAACCGCATCCTCATATGTGCACTTATTCGTAAAATATTCAATGTTGGATTTAGTGCAAAAATATGCTTGTTGCAGTTCAATTGATCAGGAGTTTATTATTTAAATATGTTATCAGTTGAAAGTATTGTGGAAGTATTGTGAAAGAAATCATGATGGCGGCGTCCATGAGATAGGTACAATCACTAGAAGACCAGTAGAGCATATACACATACAGGGTATGTCACGACGAGCTTACATTATCTTTATATCGAGAATCAGTCGGAAGAAATCCATGAAAATGTGCATGCTTATATTTCAGAATACGCTCTCTTCATTTGAAATATTTTCGACAATGCAGTGTTGCCGCTTCTACTAGAAAGTAGTTGCAACATTGATATTTCAAAAGGAACACCCTGTATTTTCTCACATTTTTAGATTATCCCTGAAGAGCTGATTTCATCGATGTATCACACTTGGGGTCTTTCGAAAATCGTTACAGAGATATAGGGTGTTCAAAATCGAGATTTTTCAACTTTAGGATTTTTTTGTGTCGAAACTATTCATTATTCAGTCAAAACGGCTTACATGTCCCTATCTCAACTTTTCATTCACTATCTACTGAAATTCAATCGAAACAGATACAGGGTGGTTCAAGATTCAGAATTCTGATCACCCTGTATCTGTTCCGATTAAATATCAGCAAATAGTAAATCAAAAGTTGAGATAGGCACATGTGAGCCGTTTTGGCCGATAACGAATAGTTTCGACAGAAACAAATCCAAAAGTTGGAAAATCTCGATTTTGAAAACCCTATATCTCAGTAATCATTTCCGATAGACCCTCAGTGTGATGTATCGATGAGATCAGCTCTTCAGGGAGAATCTAAAAACGCAATGAAATACAGGAATTCTATTTGAAATAACAAAGTTGTCGCTACTTTTTTATAGAAGCGGCAACACTGCATTACTGAAAATATTTCAAATGAAGAGAGCGTATTCTTGAATATAAACATGGATATTTCCATGAATTTCTCCCGACTGATTCTCGATATAGAGATAGTGTAAGCTCTTCTTGACATACCCTGTATAGAGGTTGAATGAGAAATCCAATAATTTGAAGTGTTGAAATTTCCGTTGAACTCATTGGTATATGCCAAAAAATAATCAATTCGAATTTGCCTGGACCTTCTCCACGATATTTCCTTTTAAAAAATGGTATAATTCGATTTCATAATGAGTACCCCTTCAACCTCACTGCACTGGTTTATTATTTTTTCTATAGAACTTCCGCTTAGCTGATGTGAATTGAATGAAAAGTTGCTCATATTTGCATTGAATGAATCATATTCTACAACACTCTTTTTGGAGATGATGAACTCGTTCACCGTTTTTCGCTTTGAAAAATAATCGCAGGATGAAATTGTAACTCTTAATTACGTCATTATCCTTTCCAGAACTCTTTTCATCCAAGGTTTATAGTCAATTTCAATTAATGATGGACAATTTTTCGCGTCTAATTAAAGGCGATATCAAAGGAGAAGTCGAGATACTCAAAAGAAATATATACCTATTGAAAGTTTTTTTTGTTCCTGGTAATCTTTTCATTCGACAGTCTCTGTCAGATTGTGATGATTTAAAAGAATTGGAAACTGGAATCTTCTTTATGATGTCTCATTATATTCGAAAGAAGAATGAAGAGCAATCTATCAGACATTTTTATGTATTCAGAGATATTTAATAATGTCTATCTCTTGAAATTCCTGTTTCCGACATCCGAATTGGATTACACATCATTTCTATATTCTTTCAGGTTTGATGAAACATAACAATCAGACAATTGATTTTAACTTGAACTCTGGATTCACGATTTCTGCATGGATTGAAACAATATTGAATCACATATTCCAGAAACCCCGTAAGTGACATTTTTAGGAAAATTCGGATTTCAATTGGAACTTATATTTTAAATGGTGCTCCATTCATTTGATGCAGAAACCCCGCTATTGATATGCATTTAATGGTATTTTCGAGGTATGTTATGACGGTGTGTAGTGCAGAAACCCCGTAAGTGCTGCGTTTACGGGGTTTCTGCTCTACACGTTTGACGGTTCGCGAGACACTCCTGTTTAGATTTCTTGAGGGCATGCGGACAACTGTCAAAATATAATCATAGTATTATTATCGTTGCTAAATCAAGGCTGACATGGATAGTGATACTGAAGTTGAAGAACAAGCTATAAAGAAGAGGATGAAAGATCTTAGCAAGTGGAGTATCAAAGGGAAACCATCAAAAAGGCTAGAGTGAGAAGAACAGCATATGCAAACTATGAAGGAAAATTGATTGCCCAAAAGGAGAGAGCAATGCCTTGCAGGTGAAAACCTTCTTACTCTGATTTCCTTTTCTGTTAGAAGTGAAGTAGGTATCATTATTTTTCTGTGTGTGTTGTAGATACTGGTATGATAATAGATTACAAGTCGTGGTGGCCGCAGTATTATAAGAAAAACTGTTTGTCCACTGACTCATATGGCTGGACAGTTCCAAGAGAAAGGGAGCAGAATTTCGCCATCTTTTCGTTTAGCATTTTTCTCATAATTCACACAAGCCAGGCTACGTTGAAGCGCACTACCAGAAAGGGCCTATTGATGTTGAGAAAATGAGAGATATTGAGAAGTTGAAACCGTATTTGCCAGACAGTAACCAAGTCCAGTACTTCTACAATGCAATATACGAATGGCCAGTGGTGAATAACGATGACCCAGAAGATAATCTCGACTAGTGTGCACAAAACAATTGTTTACAATATACTTGCATATTACATGAATAAAAATGTTGAGACAGCTGATTTTACTCAATTTCCACCAGGACACTTGATGCAATTCACCATGTGATTCAGAAACACCGTAATTACATCATCAAAATTTGATTATAACATTAGCAATATTTTTTTTCGTGTAACAATGAATACAAATCGATTAACAAATATCTTTCCAAAATTTATGCATGTGCAGAATTACAATAAGAGACAAAAATTTGCTTCTTATTAGTTTTTTGTCTTTATTGAAAAGTAACCATTTGTGCACTTACGGGGTTTCTGAAATATGTGATTCAAATATTCTGACGTTCGCAAATCTTCAAAAATATCGCCGAAAATGAGACAGATTGTACGAATTTTGCACCGTTACTCGATATGGAAAATGATGATGATGAAATTTATGTGTATTTGTTGATCATTGAAATGTACACATTCAAAATGTTTGTTGTTAATGAGAAATGTTTTTTTTTGCGGTACACCAATTCAACAGCCGGGACCAATAATTACAGAATGGGAAAATAACAATTTTGGTCCAAAATCTGTGTGGATATCGTATCAAAAAACAGAACAGAGAGAAGGAAATATGCATATAAACATAAAATAAATGACACACTGCAAAACGATGTGTATGAACTGAAAAAAAACTACGGTGAGAAAAAAGTTCATACACAGCACTACGTTAAAACAACAATAAAAAATATATAACATATTATGGTGAAGTAGCCCTTTTGATATCCATTGGTTTGCAGGAAAAAATATCTATTCTATTCCGAATGGACAAGTAATCACGACATATTTTATACAGAGGCGGAAAAAGAAGAACATTTGTTTGAGCGACTGGCAGGTAAAACGTGGTGAAACTGCGTACGTGTAGCAGATTTGGGTGAAAAAATGCAAGAATTATGCTATTTGTGATAAAAGCATGAAACTTTCAGGAATTGTTCTCCATATATATATATAAG